TAAATGCAGTGATGTCATATGATGAAGTGTGACTGGTTAAATAAGCAAAACACGAGCCCCCTCCCTTGTTGACCCCTTGTTGCAGCAAAACCAGGAAGTGCCCCGTTAGCCCAGTTAATGTGGGCCGGCCACAAGCTAAATGACCACGCCTAGGAAATAAAACACACAGCACTGAAGAGTGCTACCAACTGTCCTGCAACAACCCTCATGAAGATAGTAACCCGCCTCCAGTCTGGGGGGGGGGGGCCTCTCTCACCTGGCCGGTAGGTGTGTTCCAGCTTGGCCACCTGAGGAGTGATCAGCTTGGTGGTGTGTTCCTTCTTGCTGCTGCTGTCACGGTCTCTCTCCTGTTTCTTCTCCATCTTTTCATAGTAATTCTGCAGTGAGCATTCAGCCAGTTAGCCACAATGCTACAAGTAACTACCATCCCTGAATGAAATAAAAGGACTAACAAAATTCATTAATCAGGAGCAAGCAGCCAATCAGAGGCCCCGCTGGCCTCAGCACACCTGATAATAGTAGTCGTCCAGGTAGGGGTCAGTGCTCTGCAGCTGCATCATTTGGATGCGGGCCACCCAGTCCTTCTCCCGCTGCGTCATCAGGTTGCTGTAGGGGTCCCGGATCCTGCGCTCACAGCCACGTCCCCCCCGATCCCTGCATGGGGACATAGGAGGGTCACACAAGCACTTCCGGAACACTCTGGCCCGTGACACTGCCGCTGCAGACTCATGCTGAGAGTTCATTACTGTAAACAGCACATATGCATGCCGGCACGGCAATGCATCACACATCCTCACAGGACCTTTACCACCGTCGTTTTCCCGTATCCCAAATCACTTTGGCATCCCCACCGCGAGCTGGAAGCAGAGCTCCAACTGAAAAGGAGAGCCGGAGAGGCTCTGCCGCCTCACACAGAGACTGACCCCCTGCTCTGCAGCCGCTGGGTCAGCAGCCTCCGGTGCTGCGGATGCAGGTGTGTGGTGTTGTGCCGGATGGGGCCGTGATTCGGGGGGATGTGGGGCCCCACCCTGGGAGGGTGCTGTCCGAAAAATGGCCTGAAGCCGCCGCCCCCGCCAGGTAGGAGCGGTGGGACTGGCCCGGCCCTAGGGAACGCCCCCACCTTGCAAGAAAGTGCATCATCAGTACGCAGATCAAGGCTGACTAGGGCAACGACTAGTTCTGCGCACATGGCAAGGTACGGTGAACGGAGCCGGACACGGCCTCCCGGAGCACACCCACCTGGGAGCTGAGCAGCTGGGCCCGTTGAAGCTGGGACAGAACCGGGCCCACCCCACCAGGGAATGGAGGCCGACACAAGGGCGAGTTCTGGGGAAAGAGGAGGAGGGCTCACTGTTGGACCCCACTTGTGCCTAAGGCTACATCACACTGATGGCAGAGGAGGGTGCGGGCGGGCCTCTTACCGTGATGTTCAGCAGCGTGTTGGGGGAAAGGCGATCGGGGAACGGGTGGGCGTAGCGGTGTGGGATGGGAGCGCGCACATGTACCGCCGTGGGGCAGTGGATCTGAAGTAGACAGATAGGCAGCATTGAGCAGCTCTTCACCACAGACTTGCTCTTACTCTGGCCTACTCGGGTGACCACCCTGAGTGGCCGTGCTTGCAGAAGGCGCCAAGATGCAGGGCCCTTACCTGCTGGTTCAACATGTGGCTCAAAGGCTGTTTAGGAGGCGTCCCAATGGGCACAGCTCTCACAGGAGGGCTGCCAATCACAGGCGAGGAGGAGCGAGGGGGCGGAACCCTCTCCGAGAGATCCCGCCTCTCGTCACTTCTCATTGGAGGGGGCTGCTTGGGCAACCCAACCTCTTTGATAATAGACAACAGTGAACTGTCCTGTAGAGCAGGAAAGAATTCACACAAGTAACATGTGAATCCATGGAGGATCAACCTTCTTTTGCCTCGTTTCCACCAACACAGAGCTGGTGCTGGGATGGTTCTCGCTTTCAGGATACGCTGAAGGTTTGGACTCAATAGCCCGTCCCACCTTTGCTGACATTACAGTGCCAAATCCTGAACCCAGCTTTTGTATGAAGCCGCTTTTTCTGGCCCAGGGCCATTTTTTGCTGAGGAAATGTGTGGAACCAGCGGTGGAGTCCAGCACCGACACCAGCACCAGGTTGGTGGAAATGAGGCATGAGAGAACTAAATAAGGGAGCATTTCCATTCACCAACACCACCAACAGATCAGCTGCATGGTGTGGCAGATAGGTTACCTCCATATGGGGGCCAAGTCCAGGGGTGACACCAACAGGTCCAAAGCCTATGCTGTCCCAGATACTGCGCGAGTTCACCTGAAAGGAGGGGGTTTCCATGAGCACCCAGAGCCTTTCCCCAAATCTCCAAATGCAGAGAGACGTCACACCAGCAGGAAGCAGCCATGACCTGCTCCATCTGTCCCGAGAGGAGCTGAAGGCTTCACAGCTTCAGCTGCCAAGCTGCATAGCAGCCCTGGGGCTCTGCGGGCAATTTCACACTCCTCATATCATTTACCTGACTATCACAGGACACTGGATCACTTAGGTCACCACCTCAAATCCCAGGGTCGGTAGAGTGATGTCACTCTTATCCCCAACAGATCCAGGGACCGTCTGACCCCGCTTTCTCAATTATGTAGCTCTTTGGACAAAAGCACTGCTAAACGCCCATGGATGCATTTTTTTTTCTTAACCCTGTAATTGACGCCCAAACAATATTAAGATAATCAGAACATATTAGTGCAGTGTCACAACTCACTTGCAGGGGCGCTGTCCCCATGCGCAGATGCTGCTGCTGGTAGCCCAGCAGCAGAGGAGGCCTGGCTGGGAGAGCCTCAGACAAGGTCTTATGCTGGGGGGGCAGCTCTGCTCTCTTGGGCAGTCCAGCCGCCCCCACACCAGCAATTGCAGGATCTGTCCCCAGGATCAGCCTGGCCAGGGACTCTGCTAGGTCACCACCGCCACGCTCCTCCAAACCAGGAGGGGGTGCAGAGGGCTGGGGGGATGAAGCTGCGGCTGCCGGGGCCACGGTGGGAGGGACGGACACCTCGCCATCGCGCACCTGTTCGTCCAACTCTGCCAGCCGGGCGTGCTCCTCCTGCCAGTCGTCATCTGGAAGGGAGCATTGCGGACATGTCAAGCCTGGCAGAGATCGGGGGGCGGGGCACATGGAGCACGGGGGCGGGGCACATGGAGCACGGGGGCGGGGCTTACCAATTGCCCCTGCTCCAAAGGTGTCGTCATTGAACTGGTCGATTTCATCTTCCTCCTCCACAAGCCCCTCTTCCTCCTCCAGGGTACAGTCCTCATCCAGAGACTAGTTCGGGGGACAAGGAAGACAATGATGGTCATATAAAATCTAAACATTAAAAAAACAGAAGTCCATTATGCACCACAGGCCCTGGTCGCCATCCCCGGGGGACATCTACCGCCACTGAGGAATATATATCCTGGGTTTTCAAAGGACCCAGTGAGAAAATGCAGCACCTCTAGCTGCAGATGCACATGTCCAAGTCCTGCATCACACAGTGTGCAATTCAAAATGGAAACTGAACCATAGGCTGGACAGCGTGCAGCTCAGCATATTACAGACTTGGCCCCATGCTTGGAAGGTCATGGGTTCAAATCCCACGGTTCATACCACTGCTGAGCCCTTGAGCAAAGTCCTTCATTCTCGGGGACCAGGGGAGTGGTGGTCACTTATACATAGCTTTGGACAAAGCCATCTGCAAAGCCAAAAAATATAAAGTAACACTTCTCGGATTATTAATGAGACACGCAAACCCTGGGGCTGGTGCACGCGACAAGCATCTGTCAGGCTGGCATTCTCCGGCGGCCCGAGGCTAACAGCCACACACGTGGGTACATTTCGTTTACGGACCACAAAAGGAGGGGGGATGATTTACCGAGAAGCACCCCTGCATATCCAGGCGCTAAGATGAAAAGACCGCGCCATCATCGGGGACACGGACGCGGCTGCCTGGTCCCATCAACGCTCCCTGACATGGTGAATAAAGCCTACAGGCATCTGTCATCCACTTGGTCCTCCATTTTTATAATACAATCTGGGATACATCTGAGATGGGAGGAGGAATGGGGGAAGCAAAACCGCGCTTTCGGATGCCTGGTTACCTAATCACTCCATCCTTTTCCCCGGCGAGAATGAAATCACCCACGAAACATTCATATTCATCTAAATTAAAAGACACATGAAAAGGAAAGGTTCCCAAGAAACCACGAAATCGAAATAAAAACACGGCGCGGATATTCATGAAATCTCAGCTAGACCAACAGCCATGTCCAAAGTCCCATCTCTCGTCCTGCAAGGCCGATGAGGAAACGCCGAGGCTTTAGGCCGCACGGAAACATTTCTTCACACCGAGCCCGTAAACAATACCTAAATAGTGCCCCAAACTCCTCCGCTAAGCTCCGCAGCAAATTGCCGGAACAAAACAAGACCCCATGATAATGCATCACATGAACACAAGAAAAATTGACATTACCTGAAAACGAAACATGTATAGTGAATCCGGTAAAGGTGGTATTTCCTTGGCGTTTCTGAATCGGAGCAGCGCGGAGCAACGCGCAAATTACGCAGCAAGTTTCTTGTGAGCGAGCCTGCAGCCTCTGCGTGCGCGTTCACGCGCACGTCCTTACAGGGAGGTCGGCGGAGCAGACGCGACTTTAAGTTAAATCAAGTGAAGGCAAGTCATTTATGTATATATCACATTTAAAAACAACTAGCAACAGAAGAAAGTAAGAGGGTAATTTAAAATAAATAAACAAACAAACAAGCAGATAAATAAATGAGTTACTAAAAAGAAATTAAAAGTATCAGTAGTTGACTTGGCAAAACACTCGGAGAACCTCATACTTAGTTGAAAGCAAGAAAAAATAGACGGATATTTAATTCAGATTTAAACTCAACAACAGAAGATCAGGACATTATGTAGGATGGGAGACTATTCCAAAGTCTGGGGGCAGCAACAGAGAAAGCCCGGTCAGTTTTGATTTTGAGGAGTGAGTGAGGAACTGAGAGGAGCTGTTGTGAGGATAACCTAAGTGACCGGGGGCCTGAATATGGAACTAATAGGTCTGAAATGTATTGTGGGGTTAATCGATTGAGTGCTTTAAAAACAAATAGCAACATTTTAAAATCTACTCTGTATTTTTCAGGTAGCCAATGCAAATGAGCTAGAACAGGAGTGATATGTTGTCTTGTTTTTGTTCCAGTGAAGAGTCTAGCAGCTGCATTTTGAATCATTTGAAGACTAGAAAGTGTGGAACGGGACAATCCCAGATACAGGGAATTACCGCAGTCAGGCCGAGAGGTGATAAAAGCATAGATAACTATACCCAGGTCCTTATGAGATGAAATCGGCTTTAACTTGGCTATAGTTGTAAGATGATAAAAGCTTCCCTGAACAACACTTCTTACTTGTTAAAATTCAATGGTGTATCCAAAAATACACCAAGGTTTTTAACTTCATTATGCAAATATATGGACAGGGAACCAAGTGAGACGCTCAGGTTACTGACAGAGTTTGGGAGGCCAAATATAATTACTTGAGTTTTGTTTTAATTTAGTTGAAGGAAGTTCCTTGCCATCCAGTTTTTAATATCATCCAAGCAGCTGAGCAGGTTCTTCAGAGAGCAGGTGCTATCAGCTGTAACTGGTAGGTAAAACACTGTGTCATCTGCGTAACAATGATACAAAAATTGTATTTTTGAAGATAGAGCCAAAGAGGAGCATGTATAGAGAGAATAAAAGTGGCCCTAAGACGGAACTTTGGGGAACGCCACATTTAATGGGGGTGGGGGATGAGGAGCAGTTACCTATTCTGGCTGAGAAGCCTCTTTCTCTCAGGTAGGAGGTAAACCATTTTAACACTGGGCCCTGCAAACCAACTAACACCTCTAATAGTTTTAAAAGAATGTGATGGTCAATTGTGTCAAAGGCTGTGTTAAGATCAAGCAGGACTAAGAACTAGAATCGTTAGTGAGAAAAATGTCGTTCAGTACCTTCAGCAGGGCAAATTCTGTGCTATGCACAGCTCTAAAGCTAAACTGGAATTTATTAAAGATTTTAGACTTGTTCAAGTAAGAGGTGATCTGGGAGAACACACCTTTTTTCCAGTATCTTGGAGATAAATGGTAGCTTGAAGATGGGCCTGTAGTTTTTATGGTCATTGTGGTCTAGGCTTTTTTAAATAGCGTTTACATGATTTATTGATTAGTTCGGCATAACTGTGAGCCTTAGCTGTCTTAACAGAGCTTTGGTAGAGTTTTAAACAGTCACTAAAGACTTCGTATGAGACCTGAAGTTTATCTTTTTTCCACTTACGCTCTGCCCTTCTGCAATCGTGTCTAAGAGCACGGGTGTGGTCATTCAGCCAGGGGGTGCCAGCATAGTGCATGAGAGAAGGGTATCTGAGATATGAGGTGGGTGAGTGAGCATAAATGTATTGGTGAAATGAGGGGCTGTGGTAGAGTTTATGGATCGGACGGGGGCATGTGCATGGGGCTGGGAGGAGGTGGTAAAGGGAAAAGACAAAAGCATACTTGGTTAGCAGGCCAGGGAGTTTGGATATTATGTCATTTCCTTTGGCACCGGGAAAACAGACAGTTATGCACTACTTTGATTTCACTTCCTTAATTATGGAGTTGTCAATTAACAGTGTTGCTGGAAGACTAGAAGAAGACCAGGGGGACCATGGTGGTGTTACAGCCCGATCAGTAGCCTGGGAGTTACATGACGCACATGGCCGTGGGGGTACCTGCTTGCTGTCTGGCATGCAAGATGCAGGTGGCCGTGGGGGCACCTGCTTGCTGTCTGGCGTGGCCAGTAGATGCTGGTTGTACGGACGGCTTCATTCTTTACGACCAAGTCCAGACCGGTGCAGGAGAAGGAGGATGAGGAAAGTCGGAAAGCAGCGGATATTCTTGTTCAATCAGGACGCTGAATACAATTGAATTTCTGATGGCGGTGCTGCGTTATCACACTAACCTCGTACTACCACCGTCTACGGCGTAGAGCTAGCTGATGCCTTGGGCTTAGCTCCTATTTTGGACCAAGTCTCGTCCGATTTGACCATGACTGCAGAGCAAGGGGCCTCAGGGTGAGGAGCAGTGGCTTTTGGGCCAAACCAGGGAACGGTGGAGTCAAGAAATTGCTCATCACCCCTGACCTGATGGAGAACAGATATTCTTTCACCTAGTTCAGCAATCCTCCGATCACAACAAAGGCAACCCTTATAAATAGGAGAGGTAAGAGGCGACATGTTGCAAATATCTCCGTTGGTCGCCGGCAGGAATCAGCTTCGGTTAGCATCCAGTTTGGGTAAAACTTGGCAAGATAAAAACTTTTGTAATGAAATGGTAGGACTGAGCAAGATTAAGAATGAAACTTAGTAAACGAGTAAAATCAGTTTAAATACAGTGATGTTAATTGAACCTAAACAGCACCGTCTGTACCCTTGAAATTCGTTACCTGGGAGATTTAACTCCTCCCCAATGCTAATATTTTCAGCCTGAAGGATGTTAGGGACCAAAGACATGGCATTAATTTATAAATAGAAATTGTACAAACTAGTCGAAATTCTATATTTCTCTGGAATATTTAGAGAGAACTTACTGCTTCAGCTTCTCCTAAATAAGGAGCAGGATAATTTAATAAGTAGTGTAGTTACTATTTGTGGCAAATGCATGGTTTTGGTGGTGGTTAATCATGCAGGTGACTGTGCTCAAAAATGATGAGTTGTCGTCAGCAGCAGAATTTGGAATGCAGTTGAATACCTGCCAAATACTGGAAGAACTTGACCTTCCATAAATAGCTAGAACCAGTTAGACCGTGCAGCTTATAAGATCTTTACGTTCAAATGGGTGGCCCTTCTTCCTCGGGTTGGAAGGCCTGTCCCCAGCAGCAGACGTGGTACAGCCATTTTTGTCTGGCCATGTCTGCATTCTGATGTTGCCTGGCCGGCTCTCACACGGTCCACATGCTCCCAGAACTGACACAGGTAGTCCAGTCCCGGTGTCGCTGGCAGCTTGGGGGCACGTCGTACAACAGCTGCACCATGGTCTGCAGCTCATAGACAAACATGACGGCAGCGGTGGTATATAGTCATTGCTTTTTTGCACTGATGTTTGATAAGCCCACAGGATCAGGGGAAGATGGGCAACCAAGTCACATTAGTGCTTGGCAGTGAAGATCACCAGCAAGGAAGTTAGGGTACAGTGGAACTGTTCCACCAACCCACTGCTCAGCAGATGGCGGGGGGTGGTGCGGGTCTTCACAATCCCCAGCCGCCAGCACACCTCCCCTGGTCATTGTGCAGATTGCCGAGGAACTTGGGAGAGACGGTCCTGCTGTGGCGCTGTAGTTCCTGGACAGCCTGCACCATCTCGGGAGACGGCCCCGCTGCACTGCTGCAGTTCCTGGACAGCCTGCACCATCTCGGGAGACGGCCCCGCTGCACTGCTGCAGTTCCTGGACAGCCTGCACCATCTCGGGAGACGGCCCCGCTGCACTGCTGCAGTTCCTGGACAGCCTGCACCATCTCGGGAGACGGCCCCGCTGCACTGCTGCAGTTCCTGGACAGCCTGCACCATCTCGGGAGACGGCCCCGCTGCACTGCTGCAGTTCCTGGACAGCCTGCTGTTTTAGTACCAGAGGAGGATATAGGGCTCTCGAAGGAACAAACAGGCACGCTTTGGTCCATTCAGAAATATTTTATTAAAAGTGGTACAAATTTTGAAATATGAAGTGAGACAAAATCATGAAATATAATAAGGAATAGTAAGTAGACCATTTCATGATTACAAAGTTATGGAATATAATGGCAAAATTATAAAATGCGATACAAAATTAGGAAATATCATAAGCATTGGTAAGTAGTCCCACTATTGATTAAAATGCATCAGCAGCTGCAAAGCTATTTACACTCGGAAGTGCCCTCATCACCCACCTTCACACACGGACCGGGGAGCCCCTTTCATTCCTGGCAGGAGACCGACACGTGATTCCCGAGAAAGTGCCGTGCGATGCGCGCTCTATCCCACGGCTGAGCTCCGGTCAGTGCTGAGAAAGGGTTAAATTAATCAACAGCTATCTCAGTGTTTCAATGCAATTTACATTTAAAGCAGCAATAGGATAGACAGATATTTAATGCAGTTAAATTTCAGTTTGCAATTTAAACGATCAAGGGAACACCTTAAACAAAAACTATATTTACGGGCGGATGAATGTTCGGTGTTTGATAATTGGCGCGCCACAGTTAAAGCTACAGCCCCAGCTACAGCCCCTGCACCGACAATCATCCGTGCAGCCAGCATCGTCATCGAGAACATCGAAACTACGCCGTCGACAAGTTCTACTGCAGCTTCAGGCAATTAGTGAACTGTTTTAGTTATTGTTCAGGGATATTTTTATAAAAACTGTAATAAATTGATATTGCAGTTAAAGAACAGCAGCTTGTGTGCCAATTTTGTTCTCTTGCTTGTATTCCTTAAAAAGAATTGTTAAAATAATTTTTCTGGTCACAGTTGTGTGGTCTGTTTCAGGTAGAATTTGTTCAAAATAAATAGTTGACAATGTTTGAAATGAAATACCGATGAGTATCGGTACCGAACACCAAGCACCAGTACCGGTACCGATATCGGCTCAAATGTGAAAGGTACCCAACCCTAGTGATCAGTGAAAAACATGTTTGTGCAGTTTGACCTTGGCACAATAATATTATGGGTGAATCATGGACAACGTATTTGAATCTCAGGATGATTAGTCCACACATGATCAGAATCAATCAATACCTCAGTCACCTCATATGTACAGTATATCTGGTAGGTGGAGTTGAGCAATCACAATTTCCTAGAATATTAGTGACAGGAGGACAGTGAACAACTCTTCTTCTTAATTCTATGCTACATGGGTGACGAAGTCTGTCTTGGAAGATGGCAGAGACTGTTCCACCTAAAGAGATCCAGTTGTCACTAGATGTGTTTGCTACTGTCCACCATATCAACGCATCTATAACCATTTATTCCATTCATTATATGCTGAGTTTCATTACTTTCCGAGGAGCTTTTTGAATGAAGCATTCACTGTTGTATGGTCTAATCAAGTGTATGTGGGCAATTACAACATTCATAGAGACAGCACATGGAGATGTGTGCTCCACATTGGCCTGGCAAATTACTGTAGCTGTCTTGCAAATGATGTTCCATTATTCTTTGAAAAGAAACAAAGATGCTACATTCTGTAGATGAATGCATAGATAAAATTCATGCTATACAGTAGTTGTTTTCATGATGGACAAAACATTGACAGTGATTGCTAAGGAAAGTATGATTCATAGGTTACATTCCTGTAAGTTCTTATGAGTGACGCAATGAAGGATCTACTGAGGATGGGTTGTAGCCTCTGACCTGCTTCGGGGGGGGGGGGGGGGGGTAGGGAGGCATTGCGCAACGACACCTATGCCTATCGTACCATGTTATCGCAAGCAGCATCACTCAGACAAAAGGGGAAATTTGATAACATATTGCCTGAGGGGAAGGGGTGAGCCTGGCCAGCTTACCCCCTCCCCGCATGCAACGCTAAATTTAGTATAAAGGAAGGAGGAGATCCCAGTACTGACCGGAGCTCAGCCGTGGGATAGAGCGCGCATCACCCGGCACTTTCTCTGGACTCACGTGTTGGTCTCCTGCCAGGACTGAAAAGGGCTCCTCAGTCCGTGTGTGAAGGTGGGTGATGATGGCATGTCCGAGTGTAAATAGTTTTGCAACTGCTTGTGCGTTTTAGTGATTATGGGGATTAATTATCACCGCTCGTGATAATAATTTGCATTTTCTATATTTTATTGTTTCTTTTCTATAGACATTAGTTCGTATGATATACACTATTTTATATCCCTTGTGGTATGAGGTAATTTTGCATTGCTTTTAATTAATATTTTGATATTGATTTTAATGCAAGGTTATCTTGTATTACTTGTAATAAAGTGTTTTTGAGTGAAACAGTGAGTCTGTTTGTTCCGTCGAGAGCCCTATATCCCTCTCTCATCCATTTTAATACAGCATCCCGGCTGGTCATGCCCCCAGGGAGATACACGGTCCAGTCCTACCCTCTGGAAATGGCCATCCATCTGCTGCAGCTAGATGTTACGTGGGCGTCCCCTTAGCCTGGTCCAGCCGCTTGGGTCCTCAGCAATGAGGATTCTGCGAGCCAGATCATTCTCAGGGAAACACACCATATTGCTGTAGTGCCGTAACTGACGCTCCATCACAATACAGGTAATATGCCTCATTCGGAACTCCTCTAGCAACCGCTCATTCAACACAAAGTCAAACCAGTGGTTTCCAAGGATTCTCTGAAGAGACACAGTACCAAAGGAGTCCAGTCTTCGTCTCAGCTCACTGGATAGCGTCCATGTCTCACAGCCATACAGCAAGACAGGGAGCACCAGGACCATAAAGACTTGGACCTTCATCCTCTTGCAATGCCACACACACCTTTCCAGTGACCTCATGACCCCACATGTCCGTCTGCTGACTTCATAGGAAGAATCACCAGAGACATGAATGTCGTTGCCGATGTTGGTAAATCTCTCAAAAAGGTCAACATTCCCCCCGTGGACAGACACACTACTGATGGCTGTGCCCAAGAAGTCATTAAGTGCCTGGATCTTGGTATTTAACCAGGACACCCGCAATCCCAGACACTCAGACCTCTCGCTTAGTCCCTCGAGAGCCCCGATCAGAGCCTCCATTGATTCTACTAAGATCACAGCATCATCGGCAAAGTCAAGATCAGTAAATCTTTCTTCACCAACTGATGCCCCACAGCTGCTGGTCCCCACAACCCTGCCTATCACCCAGTCCATACAAGCATTAAATAGAGTAGGAGCAAGAACACACCCCTGGGGAACCCCAGGATCAACTGGGAAGAACACACAGGTTCTCCCTCCAGTCTGCACAGCACTCACAGTACCAGTGTATAGGCCGGCCATGATGTCCAGCAATTTCGTGGGTATCCCGCGAAGTCTCAGGATGTCCCACAGGGCAACTCGATCAACTGAGTCGAACGCTTTACCAAAATCGACAAAGGCTGCAAAGAACCTCTGCCAATGTTCACACTTGCGCTTGATGAGAACCCTCAGTGCAAGGATACGGTCGATGGTAGACTTCTTAGGCGTAAAACCAGACTGCTCTGGTCGCTAACAGACAAGCAAGTGATCAAAGGTCCTGTTAAGGGTGACCCAAGCAAGGACCTTACCTGGCACTGAAAGCAGTGTTATCCCCCTGTAGTTTCCGCAATCCAGGCAACTACAATCCACCCTTAACTTTCCAGATAGGGACTACAAGTCCCATTTTCCAGTCAGTTGGAATGATGCCTGACTCCCAAATGGAAGATTGCCCTCCGGGAATTGAAGGAAGTCTTACCACCAGCCTGGAGAAGTTCACCCCGGATACCACAGATCCCTGCGGCCTTCCTACCCCCAGCTGATTCACCACTCATGCAATCTGAGTGAGATTGGGTGGTTCACAGCTGATCAGAGGGACAGCTTCGAGAACCGTGGACCCAGAGATGTCCAATATCCTAGCTGGAGGGTCAGCTTTAAACAACTGCTCAAAGTATTCGGCCCAGTGGGTCACAAATGTAGCCTAATCCGTAAGGACCGTTCCATCACTCGCCCTGACTGCAAATCTCTGAGGAACAGATTCAGATGTGCGTAATGCCTTGATTCCTCTGTAGGCAGGACGTGGGTCACTAGACAACAGATGGTGTGTCATCTGCTCACAGATTTGTCTAACAAATGCCTCCTTATCTGCCCTCAGAGCCCTCACAGCTGTCTTTCTCAGTTCCAAAGTAGGTGTATCCACCTACAGAAATCTGACCATTCCCCGGGCTGCAAACCTCAGAGAGTGCTGCCACCGAAATGCGGACATTATGAAGCTCCCCAGACAGCAAAGGAACATGGTCATCTTGCCAGAGAGACAAGACGTTCCATGTGCCTACCCCGATGGTTCACCTCAAACTGGGACCCAAGTGCCAATCCCGCCACCAACCCCCCAAAAAATTGTTTCTCTGCAAGTTGGAGGACCACTTTCAGGGCCGGATGCAGTTTAATGTCATACCCAGGACATGTACCGTGTAATGGAACCATAATCTTTTATACATAATATAAACAGCAGAAAAACCGTACAGAATAATTTGGATTCCACACTCAACAATGAAAAAGGGTGCAAAATCAGCCACCTGCACCAAAAACATAGCACATGACGGGTTGTGAGGGGCTGTGACATGATTATTGAGGAGGAGAAAAGGAGAGACCGTGTCCTGTAACACAAATTTGTGTTTAGGTTTCTGCATCACCCTGTCCTAAAGTACAAACAAATGTTTCCATCTTGTCATGGAATTTAAGGAAATTCAGCTCAATTCTCATGATTTGAAATAATCAAAATGAAAGGGAATGCCCCCCCCTCCCCTCAGAAGTTGGAAGCCCAGAAATAAGGATTAATAAGTAAATAAATATTTTTATTGCTATGCATGCTATGAGATCAGCATGAATTTATCACAGACACACTGTAGTTAACACTATGGTACAAAACATATCAATTTATATTCACATGTATTATTCCATGAACGTAATATTAATAAGCGCCTGCGCACACCCCCTTGAATCGCATTGTGGGTTGCCAGGTTGCGGTTGCGGTGACAGATGGCTTGAAATTCTGTGTAGAGTGCGGATTGTGTGTCTAGATATTCGTTTCACATACGATCTGGCAACTTGGTTTATGACCGACAAACATACAAAACTTGTATCTGTGTATGACGATTATTCATAATGAAGTTTGAGGGCCATGCAAATTGCGGGGGAGAAACGACAAAACGGGATGGCGGCCGGAGATGGCTTTGGAATAAGGGACGAACCTTGGAATACGGGAAAATCGGGAGTGCTGGCAGGCATGCGAAGGAGATCCGTTCCTAATTCTGTCTTCGGAACAGGTATATACGGTTGTTATATACCTTAGAATGGAGTATATATTTTACCTTTCTATGCAAGAAACACTTAAGAAAAACTTCCAAATACACTAAAACATCAATAATAATAATAGTAGTAGTAGTACAGTAATCATAAAAGTAAAAACAAGAAAGCTCTATATATCGAGTTAACAAACCGCTGAAGCCGCGGAATGTTTTCATCAGTGTCACAAAATAATGCGTGCGTTCGTTTCACATTACGAACCATTTATTTAAGTAAGATTTTAAATAATAGAATGGCAGTCCGCTGATAAGTACCAGTTATCGGATGTTCTTAACCTGTGGAGTTACTGCATTATATATGAGGGAATTCTCTGAGAAATATTTTCAGTATACAGACTGTACATGCGAGACAGCAGTAGTAAGTGGACTTGGCATTGATGTTAAAAATACCAGTTTTTTGGCAGAAGATGAACCAAGGAGCATCAGGAAGCATGATTTTAAGCAAAATATTGTGTAGCCTATATTCAAAATATTGATAGAGGACGGACCCAGGGTTTCGTGAGAGGCTGGCCAAACCACATTAATGAAACTTCGGAGAGGACAGAAGAACAGGACCAAGTGAATGTGTGGATATGGAACAGGTTTAGGACTTCTTAGGAGTGATGTGTCAAACAGAAGCATGTCCTATAGTAGTGGGGGCGGGGGGGTTCTCCTTATCACGAGGAACAGCGGGCAGGAAACGATGTTCGGTTTTTCACTGATATAAAAGGGGTTTCTGGGTAAGCCAAAACTGTCAGGCTTCCAAAAAAGTCGCAGACAGAGGCTAGGAAATTAAAATGATCATCGTTGGGTGCAGTAAAGAAAAAACAAGACACCTGAAGAGATCGAAGACAAACCCAGGAAAAAGCTCAGAGCGTCCTAAATAAAATAGCTCTTTTGGAAGATGCGGTCTACGCACACAAACACGAACCTCATGGAGGGTCAAATCAAAGCGATACTGATAGCTTCAATAAGGCGCAGGTGATGTTCTTCCTTCAATAATCCTCAACTGGACGTTGCGTCGTGGGATTCCAGGAGGATTCCCCGGGATCTTCGCCTCATTTGCACCACCTGCTGTTCATACAAAGCGTGACAAAACAGAACTATTGTAGCCTCGGTTTCACGGCATGCGCGCAACGAGGCTGAAGCTGGGTCCATCCAAGGTGTTAGATGTAAAAATCCCCATTCCTAATAACTGGTGATCTGTCATGTGATTGGCCAGGAACATACTCGATTAGATCTACACTCCATTGTAGCCTATACTTTCTGAGTATCTGGAATGTTTTCCTTGTTTTTCTGAACCTGAATTTCTCAACCTGAATTTTCTCAACCATAATCTTACAACCCGTTGAATTTTTATTACCACAAAAGCAACAGAAATATAAGTTAAGGAAATACATTCAAATTCGATTTCTTTAATTCCAATTCAGGTGGGTGTTGGTGGTCTATTGGTTAGGATGCTTACCTCTAGACCAAAAGTCTCACCCCTAGCATTTTCATCATTGGCTCCCTGAGCAAGACCCTTAACCCTAAATTTAAAGAAATGGAAGTCTCTCTGGATAAGAGCATCTGCTGTAAAGCTAAACATTCAGGTAATGAAATGAAAGTTCTGGTTTACATTCAGGTAAATAAATTCAAATACAGGTTAGTTGACTTCCTGAACGCTGAGACAACACTGTGTCAGTGTGAATACAGGCACCGCTTCTCCGAAATTGGTAAGTACTGAATTTGTAAGCAGTGATATAGCGTATACGGAGCTGTGAAATATACCTGACGTAGAGAACATGCTGGCTTACATCATAGACTGCGTCCTTCGAAGGATCCGCTGCTTGAATACATACGGGTCCATTGACTCTTAATTTGTAGCTTCTAGTTATCGTAACGTCCGCTTCCAGCCCTGCCCCTTAGTTCACTGGAGCTCCATTTGGCTTACACTTGTCAGAACATATTGTAACGACAGTGAGATTTTTTTCGTCAAAACCCACTGGCCACTGGCAATGTGTTATGTACTGGGGAAGCACGGACCGGGGAAGCAGAGGCAGGACTTGAAGTGATGGAAGAATACAGGGTTTAATCAAAGGAAACACACGATCGGGAGACTATGGGAGGTATTTCCTGCAAAAAATAAAATAAAAGTGAAAATGATAAAAATAAAATACAATCTCCACTTTGCCATTTAGTTTCCAAAGTCTGTGCGCAAAAATCCTGCAAAAATTAAAAATAAAATGAAATTGCACCATTTGTATTTTAATTTTCCACTCATGTATGAGTCAGATGTGAGAAACTAAAAAATAAAATTAAAAACCATTTTTGTTTTTTCATTTTCTAATTTGACTTTTCATTTCCTGCTTTGGCTTTTCATTTTCACTACATGCAAATATATGTTAATCGGAGTGGGGCGGTGGGCGGACCTACTAATCACTGTGCTTTTCAGTTCGTTTGCCGATTCCTTTCTCCTTGTGTTTCTTGCCCACGATCGCCCAAACTAATGAAAAAGTCACACACGGCTTACGTTAGCTACTTACACATTTTCAACTCAAAATAAGGATTTGTGTTTTAATTAGGGCAGTCAAAATTAACAGGTTAATGCCGATTAATCCATCATCGTGATGAGTCTGATTAAAATTTTTAACGCAATTAACCCATCTGCAGCGCAGAATCACTCAAAATCCCTGAAAAGTCTCTTGGTGCATTCCATTTGCCCTCGGAACTCAGATTCCGAGTTTTGAAGCCGCAGGTGATGACATGCGCACTCCCGTTTCTCGGAGATCCGAGAAATATCTCGGAGAGGCACAGAGGATCCCGAGATCAGAATCCAACATGGCTGCGCCCTTTATCAACAGAAGGGAAAGTTGTAGTTTTATACTGTTTAAGCACTACTTCTCATTTGTGACTCATTAAATTGGTCGCACACACTATACGTCCAACTTATCTGTGGACGTGTTGCTACGGAGTTTTATATGTAAAGCACCGCGCGTAATGTGTTATCAACTGATATTGCTAACAATGCCAATTAACCGGGCTAGAATTGGGATTTCATGATTAGTCGGATTACACAGGTCTGCAACCAATAAACTGCATAGGATTTTTTGACTGTTTCTTATAGATTTTACTCACTGAAACCGTGAAAAATATTTTAAAGATTCCATCTCGTCAGGTTTTCTTGCAAAATTCATGTTTTTAGTTTACTTAAGCGTAAAATTTCCCTTTTTAAACTGAAATCTGGTATCCCATTCTTGAGTCAAAAAACCATATCCAATAATGATTTCTTATTTAATATTTCTAAGAGCGAGACTCAAGAGAAATACAAATAGAAAATGCGAAGAATTGAGGGGGGTCAGTAGGAGGGGAGGGTATGGTGGGACTCCTTTAAGGATGTAGTGCACAGGATTTTGGGGAATACTAAAGACCCTCTCTACAAAACCATTGTACAATGCATGTTGGCTGCGTATGAAGCTCTAGCATGCAAGATGAGCTTAAAAGTTCATTTCCTACACTCCCATATTGACTGGTTTCCTGAAAACTTAGGAGCCTATACTGAAGAGCAGGGTGAAAGATTTCACCAGGATGTTCGTGAAATCGAGAGACGATACCAAGGAAAATGGGACGTCAACATGCTAGCTGACTACTGTTGGATGCTCAGGCGGGAAACAGAAGATGGAAAGCGAAAGCGTGTTCGGAGGAGCATCAAAGAGAAGAAGAAAAGGTTTCACAGACAAAAAGAGTAAACGTAGTCTTAAATATGTTATGATGGAATAGTTTTTTGTTTCTTTTTTTTCAATTATAAGTAGGGCTGTCGAAATTAACGGGTTAACGCAGATAAATCCATCATTGTCACGCCCAGCTCCGTCCGATCCTCGTGTGTGCCACGCCCACCCCGTTACCTCGTGTTAACTCCTGATTGTACTCACCTGTTGCCTATTCCTTTTGCCTTGTCTTAAGTATTTAGTCCGTGTCTCAGGCAGTATTCCCCAGTTCTGTCATTGTACATGTTAGTCGTTGTGCTTCCCCGGTCCTGCCTGTTTCCTAAATAAAATCCCGTTTATCCGTCCATCCGGCTGATCTCGCCTGCTTTCCTGCTCGCCCGCTCCACCGATGTGACAATCATTATGATTTAATCATAATCTGATTAAAATTCTTAACGCAATTAACCCATCTGCAGCACAGAATGACTCAAAATCCCTGAAATGTCTCTGTAGATCTATTTCGGGCAGTTTTGGTGCTTTCCATTTGCCCTGGGAACTCGTATTCCGAGTCGGATTCCAAGTTTTGAAGCTGGAAGTGACGGCGTGCGCGCTCCCGTTTCTCAGAGATCCAAGAAATATCTCGGAGCAGCACAGAGGATCCTGAGCCTTTTATCAACAGAAGGGAAAGTTGTAGTTTTATACTGTTTAAGCACTACTTCTCATTTGTGGCTTATTAAATCGGTCGCACACACTATACCGTCCAACTTATCTGTGGACGTGTTACTACGGAGTTTTATACGTAAAGCACCACGCGTAATGTGTTATCAAGTGATATTGCTAAGAATGGCAATTAACTGGACTAGAATTGGATTTCATGATTAGTCGGATTATTTGTCGGATTTACGGTAGTTCGGGCTAATTGTAAGTGAACAAAGATAGAGACCATTTAAACTGAGGTACCTTAAATCTGACAAGTTATCCGACTAAGCAAAAAAACTTTTGATATGCGTCCATGGTATTGTACTTCTGTGGCAGATAGAATGAATCCGACTCGTGTTCAAGATGTTCAATAAACATGTTAAGTGCATATATATTCCCTTTTTTTTTGAGTCTGTTTTCTCATGCAAAATGAAATGTGATTAATATAGATTAAAAATGTATGATATTTAATCATGATTAATCAAAATTAATCCACAGCAACCCTGTGATTAATCTGATTTAAAATTAAGGGTTAAGGGTCATCATAACACTTAAGTAAAATTACTTTATTGCTGTAGATAAAATCTGTAAAATGGCATCAATAATAATCCACACATGCAAATATTAGATCATACCTACACTGAAAGCTTGCATTACATGCTAGAGGCAAGGCAATCTTATTTATGTAGCACATTATCATACACAAAGGTCATTCAATGTGCTTTACAGATGTAAGAATTTAAAAGACACTAAAAAGACAGTTTAAGCAAATGCAAAAGAGAAAAGTGCAGTTTTTAGATTCTTTTTGAAGATGGCTACAGTTGGGGCAGATCTAACACTACAGGCCAGTTGGTTCCAGCAGGGGGCAGAATAATGGCTAAATGCTGTTTCACTGTGTTTAGTTTCTGCACTAGTTACCACTAGCTGACCAGTTCCTTCTGATCTAAGAGTTTTACCAGGTTTATACTCATCAATCATTTCAGCGCTGTATGTATGGCCCAAAGTGATTTGTAAATTATGAGTAAAGGGTCTCAAAAAAGATCAAACTGATTTTAAAATTCAGCTGGTTACTTCATCATAACTTTGCCAGATCCTGCTACTATGTCACGTGTGAGTCTTCTTTGTATGTCTATTGAACTTGACATTTGTTTCTGTGTTGCAGCTATTGGACTTTCCATGATTGACAAACTGCACTGTCTTGATGATCTGAGAAAAGTGTCATTTGGCTGTGAGTTTCCCAGACATGGATTGAAGCTCCTCTACTGGTTCGCTGTGAACTGTGTAGAATTCCATCCAGATGGAGTAATGAGTCTAAGGTGTGACCCAGATGAAGGAGATTTTGGGTTCCACCACTATGGAAACTACGAGAAACTTCTTCCGGAACGCAAGCATTTCTATTTACGTTATTTTGTGGTAGGCAACCTGAACCCTTTAACTCACCCAAGTGCTCAGGACCTGCCTAATTATGTGAGGGGGACATACGGTTCCAATGGCAGCTTTGAGCATAACATGGACCGCATTATTATCAGCTTCAATGATATCAGAAACATAATAACAGATGTTTACATCACTGAGCACTGGCACAGATCAAATTGCTTCAGACCAGATGCCACGTATCTTCTGAGTCCTGAGCTCCTTAAGATCATACAGCAAATGACACTGACAGGCTTCCTCACCAGGACCGCCACCAATGACTATATGGACAAGTCATCTGATGTCAGCGATGAGTTACACACCAATGAGTGTGCTGTTGAATGCAGCAATGACAACAACGTTGGCTTTTTCAATAAGCCTAATACAGAGGGCATACAATGTGAAATGCTGAGTAGATTGGGCGTTAAGCAGTCCAGTCCTGCTCTATTTCCAGAATCATTATGTCACTTAAGCAGAAGCTGGACAGATCCAGTTATCTCAAAACCATTCAGCTTCCATAATGCCTTACAACCTGTTACTCAACCAGAACCACAGCATCAAATTTATAATCAGATTACTCAAATACTCCCAGACATGCCCAAAGGTGACAAGGTTACCCCCACAGAGACACACAAACCTGCAAAGTCCAATATGTCCTCAAAACATATGGGAAATAAAACTTGCCATTCACAACCGATTTTTCATCCAAATTTCCACCAGATCCATACTGCTGATCTTGTACTTAGAAATGAGACCTCATGTAGCATCTGTGTTTCTGAATCAGGGTTCCCATCTTCCTCCCCACCTCCTCGCCCCCATCACAATTCTGCGACAAACTCCATCTTGTCAGAGTCTCAAACTGGTCTCGAGTGTCAGAGCCAATTAAGTCCAACAGGTAAGGACAAGGTCTCTGAGCTTCAAGGGAGCAGGTCCAGCTGCTGGGTGGACTCTGCCGATGCGGCAGTGCTGAGTTTTCTTGCAGTGTTGGCTATACTGGTGATCCAGTTTTACTTTGTGAGACTTGGCACCGTGTTACTAGCCGAACTGCTGCTGGGACTGGCCCCCATTCCTGACAGGCAGAGAGCTTCATGGAGGAAGCCCAGCAGTCCTCATCCAGAATCCCCTGCTGGATCTCTGCCGAGGGCTTCTCCCGTGCACTCAAGGTCTGGTAAAAAATGGAAACGAAAGAAAAATAAGAAGTGCAAAAAAAAGTGAGGAGTATTCTCTGATAAGGAGTGACATGGAGTTCCAGGCATTTCTGCAAGCTTTTATATCATTTGTTTCCTTGCTTAATTACCTTTTGATTTATGTTCTTTATGTTTATATGTAGCACCATGGTCTGAGCAACAAAAATTCATGTTTCTGTATCCAATGTATTGTGTATGGCTAGTGTGACAATAAAACCCCACTTGACTTGATTTTCCTTGACCTTTGCCTGAGTCTCTCACTACAGAACCTCACTTTCAGTATAGCTCATTGTGTGGTGACATGACCTTTCAGACCCCCAGAGTTGGCGGTTTCCTCCCTCAGACAGGAACAAGCCATCAGGTGAACTGGTGACTCAGTTTTGTACTTAGCATGTGATTGTGTGTGACTGTGCGTCCTGTGATTGGCGTCCTCCATGTCATGACATATTACTCCCTTGATCATCGAAATTTTCTACCCTTTGTGCCAGAGTAGCCCTAACGAGTCTTAGCCACCTAACACCTTGTTGGGGGTTCCTAGTTTTTCCCTCGTCAGACCTCTCTCAGTAGGTACTCACCACGGCTGACAGTGAGCTCCCCACAAGCCTTGTCGTTTCGGAGATGCTCTGACCCAGTTTTCTGACCATCTTGATTTGACCCTTGGTCTATGTATCTGCGGATTGGACTTGTTGGTCACGTTCCCAGCCGTCCACATGATGCAACAGAAAACGAGATTCATTGGACCAGGTGACCTTCTTCCATTGCTCCAAGGTCCAGTTCTGATGTTCACATGCCCATTTTTGACAGTAAATAGGGGTCAGCATGGGCTCTCTGCCTGGCCTGTGGCTATGGAGCCCCACATTCAGCAGGGCTCGATGCACTATGTGTCGTAATGCAGTACTCCTGCGACCTTCATCAAAATGATTCAATGATTCAAGGGTTTTACTTATTCACATGCAAGGTATATAGTTAGACCATAATGTGGATTGAAATGTAAGGGGATGACCTGTGAAAAGTGACAGCTGGGATCAGAGATCACAGAGGTCACATTTGTCAAAGTGACAGTTGGGGTCAGAGGTCACAGAGGTCACTGGTACACGGGGTCATATGGTGTCACGTGTAGTGACATAATTTTTCCCGCAATTGCGAGGTGAAATTTGATCCGGAGGCTGGTGGTGGCGGGATTTTGTTTTTTA